GGACCCATTTTCTCTTCTTGATTTTAACAAGAGACTTCCTATTCACACTCAAAATGCTGAAAGAACTGACTCCTCTTACCCTCTAATAATTTATAGTGATAATTTATTAAACTTGTATGCTGACTTCCAACAGCTCTGAGCAGCTCACAACAATTGGAGGAAAGAAATTACAATAAAGCCAATAAAAGGATAAAATAGGTGCAATAGGTTGGTTGGATGGAATGAAATGAGGGGTCTCTTTCTTCCCCTCACCAAAGGCCTGGCTGTAGAATCAGATTTTCATAGCTATTCTAAACAAGGTCATCTGGACCTTGGAGGGGACCTCATTCTAATCTAGAGAGTAGGCGTTGCTATAGAGAAAAGTATTTCTGGGGTTCTGTTAGATGACATTGTTTAGTCATTATTGGAATGCGACAATCCTAAAAAATTGAATTGGCCAGGTGGATGATGATATTAGACGCTTAAGCAACATTAATCAGGCAGTCAATCATTGTAAGATGATAGAAACAGTGAGATGCAAATGTACAAGAATTTTTTTTAAAAATTCAGAATAGAATCCCTGCAAAAACAAGTGACTCTCCACATTTTTTTTTTTTTACAGAATTCATTTATTCCCTGAAAAGCAATGGAAAAATACCTGCCTAATGGGAAAGATGACTCCCATATAGGGGATAGGGCATGGAATTCAAATAGTCTCCCAAGTAGTTAATTCCAATTAAACAAATCTCATAGCAAAATTCATTTATTCTGATTTTCACCGATTGTCCTTAACAGTGTCATTTCTGTAATTTGCCAGTGTTGGATTAGATCATAAATAGCTACTTGTGGTTTTCAGGGGTGTCCTTTGGCATAGGAGTCAGGCCACAAAAAAAGCAGAAATGTAAATGCAAGAGCTGCTGAGGTCATGATTACACACTAGGTAGCGACAATAGCACAGCTGTGAATTACAATGTTTAGCAAATGTCCTTTCCACAGAATTCTCTGGCTTTTGGTTTTGAAAAGTAGGGGAACTATTAAAAAATAGTAAATATTACTTTTATAACCAGCATCTTAAATATTGGATTGATTGGTATTAATAGTTAGCAGCCCATCAAAGTGGATATTTTTCTTAATAGCAACTATCAATATAAGAATATGTGAAGCAAAAACAAGCTGGTCAGATCACATTTGATGAAGAGTGTATTAAAAGTATTTTAGGACAGAGCAGTGAGGGATTTCATCCTTTTTCCCCTTGAAACTAATTCTTGAGTGAGTGGGATTCCTCCATTTTCAGGGCTCAATCATGAGAAATCACATGCAGTGAAAGAGTTTGGAAGGCATTGTTGAATGTATGCCACTTCTCAGCTCCCACTCCCTTAGGAAAACAGTTTTAAAGGGCAGCATATAGGTTAAAAAAACACAAACTAAATAATTAAACTAAATAACTAAAGACAAATAGAGAATTGTCTTTCAAACCTGTGCAACATTTTTAAAATCTACATGGCAGTTGTTCTCACTGGAAGGTGGTCACTTCCAGTCAGCACTGACAGGCGTTCCAGCCCAAAGCCTCTTGTTGGCAGGGTACCTCAGGGTTTTATGCTCTCACCTCTCCAATTTAACATCTATCAGGGGTGTCAAACTCGCATCATCACAGCAGCATCAAGTGATGTATCAGGACTCCCCCCCCCAATTTGGTTAAACCGGGCCGGGGGGGGCAGCATATGACGCACCCGGGCTGCGAGTTTGACACCCCTGATCTACATGAAACAGCTGCATGAGCTCATCTGCCAGGATGGGGTCAGATATCATCAGGATGCTCATGATACTGAAGTATACATCTCAATCCCTGGCTAGCCAAGCCAGGCTGTTAAGACAATGTCTTGGTGCTAGAGGTTCAAACCTAAATATGGCAAGACAAGGTTATGGGTGCATGGTTCTTCTGTATGGAACCACTGTGTGGTTCTTGCAGTGACTCTTCATGTTTAGTTCTAAGTGGAATTGTACTTCCCTCTTCTGGGCTCTCAGCTTCACAGCACAGCAGGATGAACTTCAGACATTTACTGCAGCAATTTCACCCTTTCGTAGACCAGGAGCTCCATCTCGCAGTCACTTAAACCTTGGACCTTCACATATGGACTACTGCAAAATGCTGTACATGGTGCTGCCCTTGGACACCAGTTGGAAGCTACTGTTGGTCCAGAATGCAGCAATGTGAGTAATTATAGGTCAGTCCAATGCACCCATATTTCACTTCAGCAAGGTGATTTACACTGGTTGTCAGTTAACTTCTGAGTGCAATTCAAGATGCTGGTTGCCATCTAAAAACTCTTCATGATATAGGGCTTGGCTGTTTGAGGGACTGCTATTATTCTTCGCTCCCTTAGTTTACGGGCCAAAACTGTATCCCATTCACTAAGCAATATCATCTGATTGGGCCTAGAAAATGTATCTTTTGTGTCATGTATCCTACCTGAATCTCCCAGAGGTTTGGAGCCTCATTATTGTTCTCTGACTCCTTTTCTCTCCAAGTAGAATTGTCAGGAGTGCCAGTGGAAAAGGCCCACTTGTTGGGCAGGTTGTAAATTGGTTTTGTTTCTCACTTCTACACATTCTGCTATCAAAAACAGTATTAACACTGTAAACTGAAGTCTTTATGCTAATATTTTTGAAAGGTATTGTATTATGTGATTGCTTTTTGATATGGATTTCACATACTGGTGGTTATCAGAAAACTTACTTATCCTTAAATAAAAATATGTGGTGTGACTTTCATTGATGAACCTCAGTCAGTTTTCATGCAATTTTCCACAATGAATTATATTCCTTCTTAAAAATACACATCATTAAATAGCAAAATATTGTAGTTTTTTTAACCTGAAGGAAGGAAGGAAGTGGTAGAGACATCTGAAATTCACACAAATTGAAAGAGCAATTAAAACTTTAAAAGCAAGAGTTCTCAAAAGATCTTCAATTTCTAAGTTAAAATCCCTGAGGATTTGTATTTGACCCTCCCCTAATCACATACAAGGTTGAAGTTTTGTCTGGAATGTTTCATTTTGATTTTCAGTTCTCCAGATAGCTGTTTAATTGTCCCAAATATCCTAACCATACAAAGATCCTCTTAGTAGCTAAGGCTCAGTTTAGCAGTTAAAAATCCTTCTCCTTAATAACTGTGTACACAGAGGTTATCTCCAGTCTTGCTAAACACTTGGTGATTGGTCCAGAAATGATGGACTGTGATCAAGAGACTGATCACAGAACATTATCAAATTATGCTGGCCAATATGATAATTCAAAGACACAGAAAAGACCATTGATAAAGAGCATTGGTGGATATCCATTGTGTTCTGAAAGCAACTGATTTGCTAATTGTACATCAGGTCAAAAATTTGTATAGAGATTTCAGAGCACATCATTTTATAAGAGGCAAAAGAGAGTCACCTGCCTTCCTTTATGTTTGTCTTACCATACCAGCATCTGGCATGATGCAAAAATCAAGTATTTGATATTCTTCAAAACTTTGAATCAAGAATTATTTTTTGTTATTATTTTTAAAGCAGATGATGCTTGGCTGTTATCATATCAGTGTACCAATGAACTCCATAAATAGAACTGGACAGCCACATATATAGGACAAATCTGTTTTAGAAGGACATTAAGTAATATGGGGAACTGCACTGGACTAAATACAGGTAGTCCTTGATTTACAGCCATTAAAAGTTATAAGAGCACTGAAAAAAGTGACTGACGGCAATTTTTCACACTTAACAACTGTTGCAACATCCCCATGGTCACATGATCATAATTTGGGCGCTTGGCATGTATTTATTATGATTGTATCATCCTAGGGTCATATGATCACCTTTTGCGACTTTCTGAATGCAAAATCAATGCAGAAGCCAGGGTCCACTTCACATCTTTGTTGCTACCAGTAATTTAACTATAGTGATTCACTTAACAACTGTGACAAAACTCACTTTACAACTATGTTGCTTAGCAGTAAAAATTTTGGGCTCAATTCATAAGTAAAGGACTACCTACTGTATATATAAGATTACAACTACTGGATTTAGTTCTCTTAATTCCAAAATTTATGATAATAGTTTAATTTATTCAAAAATATTATTGGAAAAAATTGAAATATTTGTCTGAATTGGATAGAATAAAAAGGGAATAGTACCATTAGAGGAGTCTGTAGTCATTAACACTACCAATCTACTGTACTGTATTGTATAGTACTATACTGTAGCAACTTCCATTATCTCTACCATGATATTTATGGTTACATTGAAAATGTGGGAAGACTCAGACATACATAAACTTTGTCCTGCATTCTGATAGGCATAAAAGATTACTGGAAATTCTAATATAAAGATTGAAGCTAAATTAATATTATTTGGCAAGAAGGATAAGCTTCATGCTTTTAAAAACCTTCAACTGGAATTCAAACTCTTAAGCTTGGTACTTTGTTTCATCTAGATGCCCTGCCAATTCCAAAAATCCTGAGACTGTAGAATTGTAGAACATGGTGAAGTTGTTTTTATAAATGTAGATATTTCTGTATTTGTATGTTAGATCTGTGTTAACCTGACTATATATAAATTATACATCAAACAGCTAAACCTCAGAGGCCATTATACAATCCTAAGTGGAACTACAGCCTTTCAAATATTTAGACTTGGAGCTGCAATTGATGCAGCATAAAAACCTAACAAACAATGGAGATTTAAATAAATTAGTGGCTTCTTCAAGTTAAACTACCTTAAATATTTGGCCACAATCCTGGCATTGCTTTATAGGTAATTTCAAACATGCCTGGGCATTATTTTCAGTCACTGCTTGGTAGATCAGTGGCCATAACCTCAGTTCGGCGCAGCTACATACACATAAACTCATTCATCTCACTCAGCTGTTTCCAGATGTACAACACATTTGCGCATACCTCACTGTCATCTTGATAAAGGGACATCTCCAAACAGCTGATGTTGTTTTCTCAGGCACTCAGGAAAATAGAAGATTACTTTCTGATATTTTGCACCATTTAAATGTTATTTTATTAAATATGTTCAGTTCAAGGTTTCATTGTAACAAAGCTATGAAGGTTCTATTAACATTCAGGAAAAAAAACTAACTTTATTTTATTATTTCACTATCATGCAAAAAAATTGCATCAAACGTGTTCCATTTCCTGTGTAAAACTGGACATGATATAGATGCTTACATTAACCTCATAGGAGAACATTAAGAAAGCCAAAGGTCTATAGCTGTGTTTGATAATGGCCATACCAAGCTAAGATTCTCATTAAATTGGAACAGATCTTACAGACGGTAAAAACAAAGACAAAACAACTCAAACGGTTCCAAAAATATGTTTTAAGGATGCAGATACTCAATACAGAGGGATTATTATAAATAATCAGATAAAGACAAGAAAAGATCAGACCTAGAAGCATGCACATCTTTTATTACGCAGTGTAACTAATTTCCTGTTCCTCACTTTGTAACATTATTCTTAAAAATCCTAGTAAAGTTATCAGGGGTTTTATTACTTCACACACTTAGTCCTAGATATGTTCTACATTAAATTTATGAGAAAAGGTGAAGTTTTTGTCACCTTCCAGATGCTGTTGAATTAACTTTACCCATAACCCCAGCTCACAAACCAATGGTGAGGGATACTGGGAGATGTGGCCAGCAACAACTGAAGTGCCACAGGTTCTTTAGTCCCAGCAGAACATCTCTCTCGTTTGAGAAAATATTCCTTCTCTTTATAAAGGAAAATGAAATTTTGCACAAATCTCTGCAAGAAGGAATGCTTTTTTCCTGCACTGAGTCATAAGCTATCATAAATATTATGGAGCTGAGTTAGGAGTTTCTCATTAGAAGAACAGAAAAAGGCATTTCCCTTCCAATTCATATTGAAACTGAAGCTCTGTATTTTCCTAAACTCCATTAAATTCACCCTCTATTTTCTATTTAATTAGACAGCAAAATTATTCTCAGTACTATTTCAGGTACAAAGGGAACGACTTAATGGAATTCCATGTTCTCAGATCTAATGAATGAACATAAAAATGTTTGATGTGCATTGTACACAAGGGGCAGAGAATGTCATGGTGTAAATCTGATCTTGGAAATTTATTGGGAAGGCTTTTATCCCACTTCTACTCAGAAACTGAAAAAATAATAGTCAAACCATAAAGCTGACAAACACTTCTGATGTAGGAAATAAAGAACATTACTTGCTTTCTTTGTAGCAAAGACAATAAATATGGTTGATGCAAAAGTTCTACATTTATGTGGTTAAAACAACCCAAAAAACCTACATAACAACAGGAAATAAAGCAATGTCAAATAGATTGGGCTACTGAAAAAAGCACTTCTGGAAGTTGCTGGTTCCCTTTGCTAGTTTTATCAGAAAACAAATCAAACTGGGAAACCAGCTAGCCCCATAATTATAGAGAGATTTTTTTTAAATTCATAGATAATATAGTATTTTAGTATAACACACAGACTAAATTACACACCATACAGGAAGCAAATGCATGTGTGTGCAAATCTTCAGGGCGGAGTGTAACAAAGCTTTTCAACTGTTTCCTAAGGAGCACATATTCTGCAGCACTCTGGATCCCATCTATTCTAAACAATAAAAAATAAAATAAAGTAAGCCATTCACATAATTTTTTGCCCTCTTAAGATTATTTGCTTTTAAATTCTACCCTTATAAGTTGACTTACATCATCGAGGAGTGGCTGTTTGTAAAAATCAGTGCATCTCTGAAGCTCCTATGCTAACAAAACCAGCTCGTACTTGTTCCTTAAAACATTCTTGTTCATTTTTATCCAATCCATCAGTGGGAGCCAGTAGCCATTGGCTCGTCTTTACTGCTGATGTTTGGGCTCCAGTTGGTTGCTGGATGGCAGCAGTGTAAGAAAAGTCCTCCTTCTGCTTTACCCCTTTCTTTATGCTGGCCCTAGTGAGGTCGCCACCATCGGCCGTAACTCACTGATTAAAGCAGCAGCATAACCCGAAGACAAGGTCAATTTCCACTGGGCCTACAACATCCTGCTGCCTAAGAGGCACCGTCTCTCGCCCTTAAACTCTTTCTCTCTCCCTTTCTTTGCTCCAATTCTGAAAGATGCTTCACAGCTGTTGCTCCGTCATCCGCCTTGCAGGGGAGGTGCTGGATACTCCATCGCAGATGATCTCTTTTCTATACAAACAATATGGGTTTCCCTCAGGATTTATAAGACACCTTCATACAGCAGAAACAGACACGATGGATCCATGGAAAAACAACAGAAAGGCGGCAGCACCTGGAGCATCAGATTCATGCAGGGTTTCGTGCATTTGGCTGCTGCCGGTTTGTAATTCATATTTCTTTAAACGTCAAAACGAATATGACCGTTGCTGTAATTCAGGTACTCCAGAGCTGCTTGCTGAGAAGATATTGCCCTCCCGCTGAGTATCTCCGAAAACTGCTGCAATCAGAAAAGAATGAGCATGAAGAGAAAAACCGTGGGAGGAAACACAGCCTGGTCAATGGGACAAAACAGATGAGGAATCCCAAGGCCTGGATGGTTACACCTGCATTTAAGTTACTATACTTCACAGCGCACAATAGTTAGGGGATAGCCGTCCCTACTCCACTTCATTACTATTAATTATTAAAATCATTTCTTTAAGTTAATATTCCACTGGCTGTAAGCTCTTTCAGCAATCTAAAATAATACATTTGAGAAGTTAGTATGGAAGAAAGGACACGGTGAAAAAGAGGCAAATTATCTGTTGGACTGTGCTCTTCTAATAGTTGAGAATTTAACCAATGTTGTATCTGCTCTATGTCAAGGATGCGGCAGGGTGAGTGCGTAGCCCAAAAATAATTTCTGTGCTGTTTCCTATTCAAAGTGCTTCTAAAACAAATAAAACTGTATTTCCCCTTTAAGCCCACCTAGCATAGGAAGTGGGAGACATGCTTCTGATGTTGAAACCACATTGCACAAAATCCATAAAAAGGCCCTGCTTCCTTTTATGTTTTATTGTAGATTTGAAGAATAAACTTCGTGGAAGAGGTGGCAAATGCTCCCTTTTGCTCTATTTATCTTGTTGTATGAATAAATAGGATGAGTTTCTACCCAGAAAGCCAAAGTATTGGGGTTTCAGGCATTGTAACCTCTAAATTTCCTTTTCAATGAGGTACAGTTGACTTTTTTTTCTAAAAATTAAATATCCAACATCATTCAGAAATCTTCCAAACAAATCTGCAAAAGATTTTAGACATTAGTTTATAATACAGTAAATATTACACATTTTTGATAAAAGTAGCCTTAGTTGTATCCCTGAGGAGTATCAGGCATATACTCCTATCATTATTTTTAATTATGAATTTTTATTCTTGTAATGAGGCAGGGAATGAGTGTCACATTAGGCCTTCCATGAGAATTGAAAAGTAGGTTTAAAAAAATTAAGGTATGAATTAAATAACAAAACTGACCAGGTAACTCCATTAAATAACAAAAAAAGGTGTCAACACTAAAATTAAGCCCAAGAAGGAGTTTAAGAAACTCAAAACTTTTTAATAGGTTGAAAAGGAACAAGAAGCAGCACTTGCAGGATGTCAAGAGAAAAGGTAGGTTGGTCTGTTGGCTTTTTTTTAAACAACCCATCAATTGACATACATTTTTAAGGGGGGCAGGGGTTGTATGTCCTCATGAACTGCTGAAGGGAACTCAAGATTTTTTAATTAGGAAACCATATCTTGAACTATTAGAAAACAATGTTTCTTTGTCCCTGCTTCCCTACTGTCCCTTTTTCCATGCCCCTCTGCAAGGGTAGATAGGGAAATTCAGCAATCCACTTGAACTACTAAAGCCATTGGGATAAAAGTTTAAATGAATGTAATGCCCCAGTTACTAATGCTAGTTATCAAGCTGAATCTTAAGGAACAGCAAAGATTGGTCGGGTAAGAAAGCTTCTGGGAGATCTACTGTGATTCATCATAACAGAGCAAAAGAAATTTCAGTAAAAGTCTTGCTACTCTTTAGCTTAGGTTTCCTCAGATAATTTTTGATTTCTCTGGAAATGGTGAGAGAAATTGAACACCTTGATAAATATTATACAGGTTTTATATAGTACTAGTTGTATAGTTTTTATCTTGAAAACATATTCCAATTTAAAAATTCCAAGTTCTGTAACTTGGGGATTGTAAAGATGTAGGTTTTTTACTCTAAAAAGCATTGTCCCGTCAGACTAAATAATTGCTCTATCCCATTTAGTTCTTCGAAGAGAAGACATCGGGAAAATAGGAGGAGGAAGGAATATTAGGTATCTTTGCTGCCTTGAGTTATTTATCAAAAAATTAGGCAGGCTGCAAAAACATCTATTTTTTTTATTGTGAGAATAGACTTTTGCTTTAACTGGGGCCTTAAAAACTTGGGGAATCAAATGTGCTTGTGATATTTGAACCATATATCAAATATGCTATCCAATCTTGCAGGGCTGATGCGGGAACAAACAGAATCTTTGCTGGCTTCTGCCTCAATAAATGAGAGACAGCTGAACAAAACTGAAAACCCTTTGGTTCTCTATGGGGGATGGCTAGGCCCCTTGTCTCTGAAGAACAACAAGGACATTTGATCCATTCTCTCCTAGTCTATCAAAACTTTTCAACTCATTTCAGTACAGTATGAACTTCTTCTCTATCAGCTTTTAAGTTATACAAAAGAAGTAAATCTCCCTCGAACATCCTTCTGATTAAAAGTATTATAGTGAGATCAGTTGCATTGGCTCAAAATGTCTTTTTCTCCTTCTGTTAAGACTTACTAACATGAATTAGTAGATCTGTACATCTTTGCCTTGCATGCTTTCCCTCTCTGCTTTCTCTGCATCCCTGATCACATTTCAGGATATAAAGTATTTCCCTGCAAGTCTTCAGGCCTGGGGGATCTTCTCTAGCTAAACGTTGCTCGATCTAACAGCACTTGTAGTCTTTCTCTGCCAAACCTACCCATTTTTAGCTTCATTGGAGCGGAGCTGCAGGAGCCCCGGAACAATGGTAGTGTACATTCAGCCACTTGCCATCACGGCGATGCCAGACACGGGTCTCTTCGGACTGCATGGTGCGAGGCCGGCCCTGGCCATCGATATATTGGGTCAAACGGATATAGGCAATACATGCTGCATCATCACCAATAACATGAACATGGGGATTCAGGATGGTAGTGTGGATTGGTTTGCTGTTCTTGGACAGTACTGAGGAGATACAAAAAACAATCAAGGTTCTTCTCAACTCACCCAAGAGGAATGGCTTCTGTTAGTTATAGCTTGGCAACCACGTGGTCCATCTTCATCCCCTTTGTTGTTTTCTTCCATCTCAATCGGGAATGTAACATCCACATTTCCCTCTTTTACAAACGTTTTTTTCTAACTCTTCTTTCCCTAATCATAGCAAAGCTCTAATCCACCCAGCAGCTCCATAAATTCTAAAAATGATATTACTTTCCTGCTGTTCTGAATCTAAAGAATTCTTGGAGGGACAAAATTAATGGCTTTATCATTTAACATAATTATATACAATAGAATCCACTTTGCCTCTATGGAATATAACAGAATGAGGAAAATTATTGAGAAGGCAGACACGGATGAACAACAGAAAGAGTAACTTGACCAGCCTAAAGGCTTCCTCTGTCTGCCTCTGGGAAGCTGTCAGATGGCGACAGATATTTGTCTGCTCCTACCTGGCTGCCAAGAGAGGGCGGTATTGCAGAGGTTTCCATCTACCCACATGATGGCGACCAGGGATATCATTACATTGTCTTACCATATTTCCTACCACCTATACATGATACCTCAAATCCTATCAAGGAAGAAATTTGGTAGCAAAGCTTTTTACAAGAAAAGAAAAGCAGTACTTTATGGGGCAATAGCACATTCTTTAAACCAAATGCTACCCTTTAATCTTGAGCACTATGTATTCTCAAACAAACCATGGACTGATATAAATAGAATTTTCTATTCACTTGTCCTGAATTATCCTGAATTTTTAACAAAGAGAACTCTTTAAAAAGCACTTTTAAAATTTGGTAGTTCTAAGAACAAATCTCAAGAAACCAAAGAGTGTCCATCAAAGTTGGACAAATCCTGTGCTATGGAGGATTAACTGAGACAGTGGATTCATCCAGAGTGAAGCAATTGTCCCCCAAACTGCGCCAAAGTCAATCTGGGTCTCTACAAAATATGATGAATGATCTGGGGTCTCATAAAAGAGCAGGGCACTCTCCCTGCACAGATCTCCCTATAAATATCTCAGTGTTGGGAAAAAGAGTAAAGGCCTTGTTTTCATAGCAGCAGCAGCTCTCAATAACATTTTTTTTTTTTGGTCTTCTTTTCAATCACAGCTTTTGGGAGGAAAATAGAAGGAAGATGATAGTAGAAAACCCAAAATACTCACACACAAAAGGACAGTTCTATAACAAATACTTTTCACATGTTTTCTCAGTAACATGGTATTTATCAAGGAAGAAGGGCTTAATTTTCCCATGATTTTACTTTGCAAGAAATGAAATTTTAGAACTATTTTTCATTCATAATACTTTTTTAAATGTACCCTGCATCTGTCTGTAATCTACAGTACATATCTACACTAATATAGAAATAATGATTAGGAAAGAAAATATGTTTTTAGCTCTATCCTTCTTCCCCTACAAATCAACTTTAAAGATATATAATACAAATAATCCTGTCTCTTTCCTTCACAAGTTTTTCAGTTTTTCCCCCTAAGGGTGTTTCTGTGATAAATAACATTTTCGTGTATGCCTAATCAGAAAATAGAACAAGCCAATCCAGTTTGAAAATGCTTTAAATATAAAGATTTCCCTCAGCTAGTCAAAGCAGGCAATTTGGCAAATTACATCCAATCTTATGAATAAAATAAATGTTTTTAGCAGCTCCTCTGCATCTATTTATCTGCAAATAGGCTGGTATTTTTGACTGAGTTTACATCATCACATCGTCTAATTCTTTCCAAGAGCAATTGCCATTTGTTAATTCTGCAGTGAAAGTCAACACAACTCAGGAAGCTTTGGGTTTCCAGTCAGGCAATCTCTGAAATGATCCATGCCAAACTGAAGTACGAAACTTAGATCTCATAACTGAACTTTATTAGTGTTAAAATGACAGCACTGCCATACGTCAACCACAGTGAGAGCTACTGCCTGTCCCGAAAACCCTAAATGATTTGGGAACAAGAGTCAAACTCAGCAGAATCTCCAGTCCCCACTTTCCTCTCTATATCTTCCCATCAAAGGAGAGGAGACACATTGTTTGCAAGACGAGGGCCTTCTCACTCCTTCCCCCTACTCCTGAGGATCTCTGCCTAGGAAGACCTGCCTGGAAGCTACATTGTGCTTCCTATTTTTCCAAACGTTCCATTTCTGATTAGGTTGTAATTTTGCTTTTAACATTAATTCAGGTTTTTTTCATACTGATTGCTGCAAAGTATTTTAATATATATATTATTCTGCAAAATGCTCTGAAAATATTGAAGTGTAGCATACATTCCTGAAACAGATGAAATTAAAAATAATTAGAGCACTTTGCTATAATTTTCTACTTTTGTAGTTCACTAAGACATATTCTCCTTATTGTTAAATAATAGAATATGGATGATACTTCTTTTACTGTAAATTATCAACAGACTTCAGTGGTTGTCAATATAATACTTTTAATTAATATGCATTCTATTTATGATATTTAATTAATACATCCATGCAGTACATTAGTAAAACACACAAATGAAATCTTGATGCAATTAGATATATGACCATATTAAAATTGATTTAAGTGAGTTTTGTTCGTCGCATGTCTGTGCTTATAAAAACAGAGAATGCTGCCTTTTAGGTAGGCAGGAATTTTTCAGGGTTTTAAACGTGCTTTTTAATTTAATCGTTTAATTTATATGTCACTCATCTCACTGTCCGGGTACTCTGGACAGCTCTTAACCCTTTATAGCGTTTTGGGTGTCCAACCTTTGCAACTTTAAGACTTGTGGACTTCAACTCCCAGAATTCCCCTGCATTCCCCAGAATTCCCTAGATACCATTAGGTATCCAAACCCTAGTGCTATAAAACAAGGTGTTATCAAAAGACAATCACAGAGACAGAAAGCTGTAGCAAAGTCACATGCTTTATATACAAAATTTGGAAATAAAGAGAACAAAATGGAGAACATGGAACAGTTTTGTCCAATCTCAGAAACAATCTGGGAAAAATGGAGTGAATATTGGAAGTGTATATATCAAAGTTACAATATGATCCTTACTGACAGCTAATCCAGAGCTGGACATGAAATCCCAGGCCATTTCCTACCCACGAAGAGAGGGGAAGAATCATTTTGAATTTGCCAGTTATCTACCACTCACAGTTCTCAAAGTAAAACTTGTGGAAGTCCATCCCCTCCACGAGGTTTCCCAGTGCTTCAGGTTCAAATGAGGTCAGCCCAGGATCACAGATCTTCCTATAACAAATGAAGTAATCTGATCTCATTGGCATCTAATCCTTGAAATCATTTATCAGACAACCGCAACTATTATCACACGTTGTTAGTACTGTGCCACTTTGATGCAGGTTTTCCCTATCAAAAAACCCTGAAGCAGCTTCAAATATTAGGATACAATTATTTCTTGCTTTAGAGAAGATCTTAACTCTCTCTTGGACTGACAAAATAGAGATTATAGGAAAACAAACCTTGGGGGAAACTGTTCTAGTTCCAAATTCAATATATGGATTTTACCTGTGATTCATTTCCTAGTGCATTTATTTATCCCCATTTTCTATTCCCATTAGGACTCAATATGCATACTCATAATTTCCTCCTATTTAACTATTCATTTTCAGATTAAATAACCCCCTTTTCAGGAAAAAAAACCCTAACAATATTTTTGTATAGACTATAGAGCAATGAGTTTGATACAATGAATGAGGGTTGTTTCATGCTTTCAAAATATTGATATTGACAAGCTGTATTTATTCCATCTGTTTCATACTGGTTCTACAGTATCAAAAAAGATTCACTTATGCCTGTCTGGTGTTCTAGCTAAAAAACACAAGGGCACAATTGACAGTCAATGTTATCATCAATAGGTTACAACCTATTTCTGGCTATTAGTTGGCACAAGCTTTCATAGCTTAAGTAACTAATTATAGGTAGTCCTCGTGTAGCTACAATTGGGACTGGCAACTTGGTTAAGCAAAGCAGTCACTAAGTGAAACTGTAGTTGTGCTTATGATCTGTCTTCAGCTTTCCTTTGCTTTACAGACCTGCAAAAGTTGTAAAAAATGCAAGCATTGGTCACAAAGTTACTTTTTCATCGCTGTCGTAATTGTGAGTGGTCACTAAATGAGGACTAACTGTATGGTCATTTTGATACATAAAGGACCTCTGCATTTCTTCACTTACGTGTAAGCTTCAAAGTCTCCATTGTTGATTGCTTCGATCAGCTGCTCTGTAATCTTGATGATTTCTTGCTTACGCACTGAGGACAAGCATAAAAAAGACAATCTGAAAGCACTGGAATTATGAAAATGATATGGTGAATAAGTCCCTCCATATCAACAGGGTAACTACTAGTCTTCTTGCAGGGGCAGCTGACTTCTTGCATTCCAGAAAAGCAGCACAGTAATGAGGTTAATGAGGAGAAGGGGTGGACAACTATGGCTCCTTTACGACCTGTGGACTTCAACTCCTAGAATTCCTGAGCCAGCATAGCATAGCTAGCTCGGGAATTTTGGGAGCTGAAGTCTACAAGTCATAAAGGGGGCATATTTGCCTATCCAATTTGAAAGGATGGCGTCTGCTGTTAAGAGGAAAGAGCTCAGGAAACAGGCTGCCCATTCAGAAAGTCAAGGCATTGTACTATATTTAAGACATAATCCATATAGAGCAGTAATGTTCCAAGAATCAAGGAATAAATCTTGAAGCGTCAACTCTGTGACGAGAAAGATTCACCATATGATATAAATCTGAAGAAATGGGCCCATTACAGGTCTATCGTTGGTTTATTATTCTCTCAGAAACTAAGCAATTGTATCAGGAATGTTAATTTTTTTTTCATCCAATAGCCACAACTGGATTTTCACTGACAGGAATAAATTTAAATGAGATATCATCAGTATAATCACTTTTTAAAAAATCCATCAAATCAGACATTACAATTTAGTAGCAAATTCTGGAAGGTTTGTATTCTAGTTATTTTAGGAGCTGTACTCTTGGTTTCATGCTATGCTGTTCTAGTTTGAACCACAATTTGTATTTTGTAAACTACCATGGTTCTGTAGAAATCTGGGTTATAGTAACTATGATTTGTATTGAGAAACAGAAATGTCATCACCATCAATGGAAATGCTGTACAATCACTCTGAGGTTGGTGGGACAAAATGCAGATCTGTAGGAAGAAGCTTAATTGTGTTTGTACTGACCCAGATAAGATTATAGTAAGACCGCCAGTTCTTTGAAACTTCCAACAAATTATGCAAGCATGGGATTTCAGTTACCGAACTTCAAACACATTAACACTGCCTCCAATGTCTGCTTAGTGGCTTAAATAAATGATTTAATAGCAACTGTTTTTATTCTTGAATAAAGTTGCTGCTTCTCCTGAAAATGTCCCAAGTGTAGTCTCGTTCTGCTAGAGCTAAAATTTCAGTTGAAGAAACATTTTCATACCTTATTCAATTAGCCTTTGTGACTGACTATTATTCCCAGTTTCATGTATGCCACAGCAACTTTTTACCTCAGCCCAAATTCTAACTTTCACCATGTAAGGAAATTACTTAAGGCAAAGTTTTAACTGCACACAGTAAGCATATGGTTAGAATTCAAATACCCTCCAGCCGAGCAATACAGTATATTTAATATCTGTTTCTGATTTCCTCCATGACAGAAATAAATAGCTTCAAAAAACAGGTTCATATGGAGGCCTTGAATGTTTACAGACATGTCATGTGGATGATAACAGAAGATATGCTATGCTATGAGCAAAAACAACTCTGCCTTCATTTTTAAAATCTTCTGAATGATACCCACTGGTGCAATGCATTACATATTATGCTATGCTTCTTTATCCAATTACAAAAAACATGTAATTCCATCAAATGCTTTTGTAAAAGCAGACATGTGCAGTTTATCTCATGTCTGTCTATCTTTTCTGAAGTCAGAGAGCAAAATGTCCATGACATCCTTAATCCTTACCAAATTTTTTCCTGGTTCCCTTCCAAGAGTTTGCGTAACCAAGCTCCTTGCTTTTGTGGAAGTCTTGAGCTTGAAGCCATGGAATCAAAGGCTAATATCTTTGTCATCTACCATTTGCATACTGGTTACTCTGTTCCCTTAGCTAATCAATACATTAAACCATTCGTGCTAAGTAGGATTAAAAGGCCTATTGTGTTCGTCATTCCATGGGCAGTTAGATCTGAATGGGTGGCACAAACGGAAGGTATGGATGAAATAGCACATTCATATACTGAGCAATACATTATTTTTGGCCAATTACTACTTTCGTTGTGCTTAGCATCAATAAAACACAAACATTGTCAACAGTTTGTACACATGCCAGCTACTAAATTGTGCCCAAATAGACTAAACATCTCAACCAACGAGAAAGAAACGTCGCACTGTACTTTCCAATAATCTATTTTTTCTCTCTTACCTACTTAACTGAGGCATTTTTCCATAGATCCATGTCACAGTAAACAAAATATGTTTATAACATGGGTGCAACTTTCCAAGTCTTGGCAACCTGACATTAACAGCAGACGCATATCACTATTAGGCCCATAAACTTTCAAATGAAATTCTGCATTTTTCTAACCATAATGGCAATAATAATATTTCTGCTGCAACAAATATATTCAGAGTTCAGATCTTTCAATGCCTGCTATAGAGTAGATAGATTTGTTAGTTCTGTGACTTGAGCCTGTAGAGGCAACTCAATCTGAATTTTGGAGACCTGTTCTGAACACCCTTGAAGCCCTGGAATCTTTTTAATTTCTGTGGAGACTCATGCAGCTTGGCTACTTGAAATATTGGATTAACCTCTTTTATAATGGATTATTTTGGTCATTTTTTGTCTGTACAGAAAACAAGTATTCAATTATGGCCTATCAGCCCACCATCTGTTTTTACTCAGCCTTGAAACAGATTGATTTGAGTATTCCAGTTCAACCCAAATAAATCCCCAACTATCTTGGAGTGAGCTTGTTTGGGAGACCATTCTCTCATGTCTAAGTGTCCCATTTCTAAGCAAACATTTCTTGGACATCTGAGTTTCTATCTTTATCTGCTAGAAAAACATTTTGATCTTTGTTGTTAGAAGGAAGATTCAGTGATGATGAATACTTTATTATGATCTTGGACTGAAGCAAACACGACTTCAGTCATGTTTAAAAACAGAAAGCTTTCAAAACCTAGTGGAGTGCAGTAATCATCATGGATAATAGTAACGTGTAAGCTTGCTTTCTGTTGATCATTACATACAACAAACAAGAAAATTCAACTTAATAGTCTGCTCAAAACAAACAATCTTAATGATTTCAATGAGAAGTGCAAAGAACTTTGTGGCATTCATCACTCACTCATCTGCAGAAGAACAGTTTCTCTTATCATTTAGGTTTTCATGGTGATAAAGGTAGGTAGAAAGGACAATGAAGAAAGATGGCCAACTGATTCAGTTCCCATCCTATGGCTTGGGCAAGGATGTTCCCACTTTGGCTTACAACTAAATCTGCAGGAAGGTTCCACAAAGGACACTTTGTCACTGCTTGACAGAGGAAACAGCAACAATTTCTCATATGCTTTTGTGCTGTCCCTTCTTCGTTGTATGACAAGCTTACATATAATGCCCTTTGAAAGCCCATCCTAACAGCAGCTCAAAGGACAAGAATACTTCGGGGACAAGTGATCTGATAATTCTAGAACAGATGCTAATTTGCTACAATTGACAGTGTTAACAGATGCTTTAACTTTCTTAGCATTTTTGTTCACATTTCCATGTACATTTTTGTCTATAACTCTTGGTCAATGCTGTTCAATTGATCAATGACTTATCCCAGGCTGAAATGTAAGGGAATGCAGATAAATGTGGCACACGACAGTTTTCCAGGGATGAGGACACTTAGTAATGAACAGTTCTACTCTCCTAACTAATTAATTCAAGCAGAAAGTGATAACTGCTATAGGAGGATAGGGAAGAAAAGTAGGAATAGAAAAATAAGAAGGGGAAGTGTTAAATAAGGGACATAAATCACTACTACTATTTCTCTACCTGCTACTACTTCTAATTAACAGCTAACTTACATGATAGACTGTTAAATGCAAATGGAACTACTGGAGTTAGGACAGGCTCCGACTGAGCACGATCCAACTCCACTGTTTGCCCTGGGCTATCCCAGGCAAGAAGCTTCTCTTCATAAGACAGTGTAGCAGTAGCTGCAAAACAAATGCAAGCATTAAAATAAAAATAAAAGCAGAAAGCAGGATAAGAATTGCACTGACAATACAAATCTACACCCATTCACAATAAGACAAAATCCCAGAGCACACACTGCTCCTGGATAAAAGCAGCTCCCGGGCCATTCTTTGATGGATCTCTGGAACACCTTCCTCACTGGAGAGACACTTCAAGTATCTTTTCAAAGAGATCCACTCTTTTGATGTCCTGACTCTGAGAACTAAATGAGACACAAGGTGGAGAATAAAATATTCCACGGATTTCATGTTACAATCAAAACTATACTGCAGGAAGAAGTTTGTCTGACCCAGGAGCATAATTTCCAGGCATTTAGGAGGAAACAAAAGACATTGCAATTATTTGGAATTTTTAAAAATGCCAATTTCACCAAGGAAAATGTCAGATCTTGTCCCCAAATCAATATTTTCTTATTAAACCAATCACAGGTTGGAGAGGGCATTGTAAGAAGGCCAGATCTTATATAACAATTTTTGAGTGAGCAATTCGACTTAACTTCAGTAGGTTGGGGATCTGATCAAGGCTACTTTGAGTGTCATGGAAGAAAAGTGAGTTACAAATGCAGCAAGCATAACACTACTCTTCTAATTCGATTATATGCTTAAGACAGAAAAATACTAAGTGCCCACTAGCAACTCTCCGTGCTTTTCCCACCTCATTTTCATGCAAGCAAACAACCTCCTGTCTTCACAACTGCAACATTTGGGACTGTCTGACTGAGAAAGCAGATTGACCAAACAGGTTTTCATGTATCTCTGGTCCCTTTCATTCCTTCTAACAACTCTTAGTATCTACTTCAGCTAATCAAGGTAGACTCACCAAAAATGTGGAAATCTCTACAGAATGACAGCCAAATACTATACCACTTTTTAAATTAGAAAACTGTTTTCTCACTTTGCTATCCATATATACACTTTGATGGCTGCAAAACCAGACAAGAACAAGAATATATTTACTGACTTTTGGCAATCTGTCCAGATGTAATGGCTAGTGTGCAAAGCATAGCCGGGAAGATTTTTCTGTTGACTCAAGAAAGCTATGCTTTATCTCGCCAAGTCCAAGGAAATGTCTTTAAATAACAGAACCGTTTTGTATTACTTCAGCCTGTGCAGACATCAAGTCCACGCATCTTAAAGTTGCCAACCAAATAAATACTGGTTTAGTGGTTATATGTTTCTGGAGGCAGAAACAAAAGATTGACGGTATAGAAACTGGCTTTGATAAATTATGTTTAGTTAGGTTAGAAGTTGGTCAAACAAATTCAAGGATCACTTCACTTTTTTGATTCTGAGGCTTGGGAGTTTCCTGTTTAAGTTCATGAAGTAAAAAGCCTTGAAAGATCAAACATAGTGCCTTTTGATAATTATGTAAAGTGAAACTAAGAAATTGTCTCAGCTTAGGTCTCATTTTTAATTATTTTACAGAGAGGCACAAATACAATGTGAAGACGATGCTTCCCCAACTGCGGTAACACTGCCTTCCACCACCACAGACGCTTCATAAGGGGAGAAACGGCTCCTGTGACAGGCCTCCCATAAATCATTTTTCTCCTTAAAAATAGTAATAACACCTTCGTTATACCCAGTGAAATTATCATATAATAATATGACCACTTATTGTGACTTTACTAATGTAGCTGTACAGTCTAATGTACATTACATTGAGTACATTACAGTGCTCAAGACATACGGGAACCAAAGTATAGGTAAGTACTGTCAGAAATGAGTAATGTAGATAACGACTCCCAGGTGTGTTTCAACGCTGTTGTTTCAGGAGGCGTGCACCTTGTTCAAAACAGGCTGACCCTCAATCTAGTTTTCTGTTTCACAAATAAAGGATTTTGGTCACTTGGAGTGTCCTGTAAAATATTACGAGCTTTGATGCTGCTTTCCCAGGATTCTGCCTACTCCCCACCCTACCACTTTTTCAAAAGACAAGGGAGAACAAGGCAAACAGTGCAATTGGTACAACCTAGTTACCCACTAGATGGCAGCAATGCATTTGCACTTTTATGACCCTATTGCTGCCACCCTGTGGTCATCCAGATTTTTGCATTGGAGATAGGATTGGAGATGTGATTCCACAAGTGAGGGGCCTGCCTTGACAGATAAGCAGGAAAGGTTTGATATAAGAACTTTCCAGAAACATCACATCCACACACAACAATGCAAGTACTCTCCTCCTTCGATTCTAGTCAGTAAATTGAGGTCAGTTTAAAGGACTCATTATGACATGCTGTAAATAATGAAAATTAATGTTTGCCTACTGTGGCAACTTGAACTATGAATAGTTCATCTTGTAATTTTTGCACATTGCATAGAAATACTTCAAATCTGTTTTCCCGGAAACTACTAGGAAGATTCAATAAGATTCCTAAATGGTTAAATATTAGAAATGAGAACAATGATGAGGTTGTTTACATACATACAGAAATATATATGTGTGTGTTTTCTTAACCATCACTGTTCTTTTGCCTCCTGTGCTTTTGTGTTAAATGTCTTTAACAACTGTAAAGCATCCAGAGTTGCTGGGAGTCAGGCGGTGTGTAAATTTAATAAATAACAGTAATATCCCAGGTTCTTGGGAAGGACTCAATAGGAATATAAAAATGTCAAATCCAGTTTAAACATCTGGCTGACTGTGCAACCAACCACAATAATAATATGCCCAGTCAGTAGACCAGCAAATCCAGAAGACAAGAATTACAATAACTCTTATTCCTTTAAAGGGGGTCAATCAACTTTTTTATGCACAGAAGCTGACATGGAAAAAAGCTGCTTTGCCAATGACCCTGCCATCTCTTCTCTGTTTGCTATTAAGCTGTATGTACCTTTCAAATCTTCATCTTCAGTTGTGGTATTGCAGCTCTCTGTAGAACCCTGCAAGATAGAAACATCAGTATTCACAAGGCAAGCAGACTTCTTCAAGAAAAGCAGACAAGAAGGAAAAATGGACATTTGATAACTTTCAGTCATTTGATGCAGTCTTACTCTAAATACTATTTTGAAATTCCACAACTAATGTTTTATTGTTCCTTTCCTCATTACAATGGCCTCTCAACATCTCCAAGCCACAGTATTGTTTAAATTACAGATAAATTATGGAATGTCTTCGGTAATCTTCTATACTCTGAAATTTTCTGGATATATTTATTCTTTTTTTACATGAAGTAAAATCTAGTGATCCCTGCCTGGCACAGGGCTTTCTTCATAGTGGTCAAACTGTATGACTCACACAATGACTAAATAACTCCCAGCCAGCTTTCTTATAAGCAAAATCGATGAGGGATGCTGGGTTGGCTTAACAATTGTGCAATGATTACAACCTATGGAAAAAGATGGTTAAATTGGGTATGACTCACTTAAGAGCTGCCTTGCTTAACAACATAAATTCTGGTCCAGTTGTGGTTCAAAGTCAGGAACTAACTGCAGTAGTATGTTGTAGATTTTGATATCTTAAAAAAATTCCTACTACAGGCTTTTATATGAGATAACTCTCAGGCTCAAATGGAACAAAGTTCACAATTAAAAGAAAGCTTACAATAATAAAAGAAAACATGGTCAGGAATTATATTGAAACTGCAAATGATGAGAAACACCACACCTAATTTGTAATTTGTAGGAAAAGTTGTGCCAAGCATCAAAATGTAGTATGAGAAAATGTTCAATAAGTTTTGAATTTGTTTGTATTATATTTTCTTTATCAAAAAAGACAAGGAGAAATCTCTGAATAAAATGTTCAAATCAGCCATAAATATAGTTATATTTCAAAATAAAATGGATTTTAAAAAATGCCAGCTATCTAATAAATGAGGCAAGCCAGTTAGACATCATAGGACTTGGGGAAAACTTGCTGACCATCTCTTCTAGCAGGTTTATACAATTAATTAAATATAACTTTGGCTAATGTAAATCCTATGTAACGCATGCAATTTCAAAGGATAAGGAAGAGGCCAGTTTGGAATTATGGAGGTCTTTTGTGAACCTCACCTTACCTTTATGCCATCATTAGCATTGTGGACAACCGTAGTTTGTGGTTCCTAATTGAAAGAGGACAGAAATAAAGAATCAGATTCTAGTTCAAAGCATGTTTCCTTCTCTGTGCAGTATCTGTTGGGAAAGCAAAATAACAAACAAGAACAAAGCGCAAGATTTCTATCTGAGGATGGTGTGAGCGGATAACAGATAGACACAGACCACTCCCTTGGAGAGCCCAAAAGTTCTTCAAAAAGATTCACTAATACCTACATTTCCTAGGAGACAAAGACACGTGTATTTCTCCATATTCTAAAAATCTATACATTTCATCTGAAAGCTCATTACAGCTATGAAAAAAAAAGTTTGGGCAAACTATTGTAATTCATTAAATAAAAGAAAATGTCCACTTAAAATTTCACTCAGAATAAAGAGGCTGAACATATGGCTTTGTCTCCATGTCTTCCCCACAGAGCTTCTTGGCATTATTTCTCTCTCTACAGGGACATTCATAATTTCCCACGCAATGGGCGACAAAGGCACCCGTATATGCTACAGCAGAGAACTACACAGAGAACAGGCAAAATCTCATGTTTGATCCAAATGGAGTTGCCAAGATGGGATGACTTCAATACAAAGAGAAGAAGATAGCTAAGCAACTTACAAGCAACTCTTTTAAAGCCAGTGCATTATGGGATACACTGTGTATGTGGGAATTCAAATTATGAAATATCCCCAGAGGGGAAAAAAGCATTACAGAGAATGAAAAGCAACTATCCAGTCTCTAAGAATCCCACTAAGTTCTTATACTGGCCCTCATTCCTGAATTATTATGGAGAGGCTTGTCCTTATCCAGTTTTGTTCCCCAGGGGCCCTTTGGTGCCCCCTCGTCAGCAGTATGACTCAGGGCCATAGTGCCCTCACGTTTCCCCATCAGATACCGCATAAGGCTACCACTCAATTTTCAAGGACAACTGGCAGAAGGGCCTTTCCGCTGCCTTATGGAATGGGTGGCACTCGGCAAGAGTGTTAGTGGGGAGTAGCGAAAAACCCTGTGCAAATCAGACCACAGAAGAGTTTTCCATTCCTTCCTTCCTTGGAGACTGGATGCTGATGGCCACTCTGCTGCAGCCTCCTTCAGTCTGCAGGACCCACATACAGACACCAGAGCACTTTGCACCTCCAACTGGCAAGGAAGTTGGGATAACGTTTGGGAGTGCAGACAGAACTAAGCCAAAACAAAAGAGCAACACAGGCAGCATTCTGGCCAAGGGTAAGGACCAAAAATGAAGCAAGGAGAAAGAAATGGTTGGGAAAGATACCATGGACATCTGCACTGGGGGCGTTTCTTTTGCTGGGCTTACTACACTGGCTTTGTTGTTGGTCTGTGGCTAAGACAGAAAAACAGATGGTTTAGTTTTAGCTCTGCCCTCCTTGGGCAGTAATCATAACAACATGACATTGATTGCTAAAAATTAGTTCAGTCCCTTCCCCAATCAACTCTATGAGAGAAGAGAGCTGGAGGACGATAACAAGCATTGCTTTATTTATCACCTCCCACAGATAACGCCAGAAAGTTAGACAGGATGGGGAAAAGGAGCAGGAGATGGAAAATGGCCCAAAGTCTATGGAGGAAAATGAGTGCCACAGACAGACTTAAATCAACCAATGGGTGAAGTCATTAAGAGAAAGGAACATATTTAGATGAAGCGCAGTCAGCTGGGCAGATCCAGATGTGCACTTTCTAAGAAGGAGTTAGCAAGTGAGCCAAGGCACCTTCAGTTCACCTGTAGGACTTAATACGGAAAAGGGAGGTTTCACTGCTCAGCTGAAAGTTACAGAATAAATTTGCATTGCACCAGCCTGTAACCAGGCCTGAAAGCCTGTGGCATTCAGTAGAACTAAGTGGTTCTAGCCCCATCGAAGGCTGGATTACCCAGGAATCACAAACAGCTCCTTACAATACCTATAATAAAGGCATGACAAAATAACACCCTCTAAGTAAAATGTAACAGGCAAAAAAAAGAATCTGGACACAGCATCATGCTCTTTTTGGGAGATGGGCCAAAGTGGGGGTGGGGGCGGCTCTGACAGAATCAAGGTTCTTCCAGATCTTCTTCTTTGCAACTGTACATTTCAAGAGGTACCAAGCCCAACTCCCATTTTAAAGCTTTTCATATACAGTGACATAAAAAACAATATTGTTATGAATTTCTCAAATATTTAAGAGCAGTGCTGTGAATAGCAATAATGTAAAACAGAAAAATGATACCCTCTACAGTTAGTCCTCACTTAAACACCCCTAATTAGGACCAGAATTTTCACCCCAGAGGAAATGGTCATTAGGCGAAACGTCATGCAGCCACACTGCTTAACAACAGCAGTTCCACTAGTCCTCATTGGGGCTGTTGGTGAGGCCTTATGCCTGCTTCTCCTTCCCTGCAAACTGATGGCTCCTCCCCAGCTAGGCCCAGCAGGCTCCCTTTCCCAAATGAGGCTCTCCCACTTTGCTGTGCTTGCCTCTGCTTCAACTCCCCCGCCTATCTTTCCGCCTCCCCCCCCATCTCTGCCCTTTTGACTGCCTGCACTCCACTACTAAGGGCCAGTAACGACCCCAGCCAGGCCTGCTTCAGCAGCACCAGAGGAAGAAGACAGTGAAGGCCAGCAGTGGGCAGGGTCCATAAACGAGTGGGGGCAGTTGTACAATCAGGTGGGCTACCTGCACCAGCATTTTGATTCTGAGGGCACTACGATGGCCACAGCTTCAAGGACTAATCATAACTAATATTTGTTCAATACTGTCATGGTTTTGAATGGTCTCTAAACAAATAGTTGTTAAGCAAGAACTACCTACAGAAAATAAACACTTTTGTTCCTTCAGTATTAAGAAAAGAACTCAGAGGACAGAGAATCTGTGGGATCTGACCTCTCAAATTGCTGCCGATGAACCTGCAAGCATTCCAAATACCTGCCTCTCCTTGAAGAAGCAAACCTAAAAAAGGCCTCTTTCCTAGAATTAGCTCCTTGGAATTGGTTCTGGAAATGAACTCTACCTGGATGTTAGTGCCAGCCCTCCCTCGAACAAGTCAGGACACCACACTTGGTCCATGCCTCCCTCCTTAATTAATCGTGCCTCAGGGCTCCCAAGTTGACTCCTGGTATCTTGGGCAGAGTTGCTCGTTCAGCTTTCCTAGCCAAGATGCCTCTGCCCCAAACTGCATCCGTTCACCCCAAAAGGAGCCACCGTTGAGGGAAGCCCTGGAGAGAAGTTTTGAAGGGCTATTATGGAGAGCAAGGACACCTTGTTCTTTTTCTACACATATTGAGAATATCTGAGAGATTTAAAAAAAAAAAAAAACTACTGCTGCCTTTATTTGTAGTTTGGTGTTAAGACCAAGACCTGGAGATAGAAATGAGGAAAAGGAAATAGCTTGGGAACAGATTCTAAGAGCACAGCTGGATTGTAACCTATCAGTAGGCCGCTAGCTAGCTCCTTTCCTTTTAGGCTGAATTCTAACCAAGGAAGTAAAGGCGACAGTGAAGGAGGCCCCTCCAACTCCCGAGTCCTTTTCCCCAATACAGGATGATTATTGGGAAAACATCACAGAATGAGATAAAAGTAAAGAGTTCACCGTTATGTGGTGATTCCATAATATGGCAGGCAAATAACAAGGATAATCAGAAGTAGTGATGATAGTGGATTGGTCCTGATCTGCAGGAATGCCAGTTTGTTGACCAAATGCTCCATCCAACAATTTGCTGGTTCTTAACATGTTATACTCTTTCACATCTTCTGTATTTTTTAAAAAATTTTGTTGCATGTTGTTACTTTCTCTTTATCTCAAAATCCAGTCCTACTACTATAGCCTGTTGTTACTGCAACTGCTGCTACTCTAATGGACATACAATAAAAATGACAGGGCTTAGGAAGAATATAAAGTGCAACAGTGTGCATGTGTGTGTGCTTGAATAAGTTCACAGATTTATGCTATTTTCAAATATTGGTATCTTTGCATACTTTTTACCATCATCACTTATGTTGGAATGCATCACAACTTCTCAAAAAGTATGCTCTACCACCTGTGGGCTTGATCACAACCTGTTCTGAGTACGAGCTCCCAAAGAAAGACCAGGGGCTGGGTATGATCCAAGACCTTCCTTAGGCAGTAGTACTACCCCTCCTCAAAAGGCCGTTCCTTGACCCAGTCATCCTGGACTACTATATCCATTAAAATCCATTGTTACATTGATAATGTTTTTATGATTTGCTTTGATGGCAGCTTTAATATATTTAAAATATTTGGAGGGGAGAGTTAGCACAACTGGACTGAACAAAACTATTTTTTTCCTGCAGGTTATATTAACATCTACTGATCATGCAACATGTTCTGCCCTAGCTCCAGATTCCCGAGGATATTGACACACACCAATGGTCCTTATCAAATTTATTAAGTAGCAAGAATAAACCAAAGTCCGGCAAAGGTTGGCAACCAGCCCAGAAAACAAGATACGATAAGACTTTTCCAAAAATGCTCTGATGATAATTACAAGTTGTTTCTAGCAAGAAATTTACTAACGGTGTGTGACTTAAATAGGCTAAGGGAGTGGCCAATTATCCTCAAGCCTTACTCTCGAGGAGACCTCCTCCTCCTGAGTAGCCACTCCTGCCTTTTGGCAGCCCTGCGTGCTCAAGCATTGAGAAGAGGCTCCTCCACTTCGCTCTCTCCACTTGAAGGAGCCTCTGGAGCTTCTGAAGGCCCTGGCTGAGTCTCTGCCTCTGGCACCACATCCTCTTCAGCCTCCTCACTGTCTGACACAAGCGCCAACTGTGCAGGCTGCTGGCACGACACCACACCAGCCTCCTTGTCGTCGGGATCAGCCACGATCCACGCAGGCCGCTGGCGGGCCACAACACAACAATCTATTAACTGATACAGATGATTCACTGACACAGGCCACTTTTGCAGGCCTTAGATGTAACAAAGATTTGATTGGACATTGACTATAGATAGCTTCATTCAGCTTCTTGTGAAAATATCCCCTGCAACTCTGCTGAAATGGTAAGCAATAATGCATCAGTTGTCTCTGAAATGTATGTAGAAATGTATGTTAGCAAACTTCATTACGTTAATAGTATTTTTAATAGTTTTGCTTCATAAACTCAAAGTTCTAGCTTTGTTTCACAGGACACACAAATTCAAATGTAATTATTAAAAGCAAATGCCAGATTTACTGTATTTTCCCCCCAACATTAACCATGAATAGGGATGAAATCGAAACAAATTCATTTATCACCTTTAGAAGATGTGGTATCACAATGTGTCAGAATTCCTGACACAGATATAAAAAGGAGGTCCAATTTTTTTGCCTGCATTCAGGGAACCTTCAAAATGTGGGAGGGTCTGAAGGAGAGAATGAGCCCTGTGGCAGGTTTTCATATGATAAGTGAGCTACATTGCATACCTCCAAACTGGTCTGAAAGGGAGTCTTTCTATACAGATTGAATGAAGGAACGGATGTGTCTATGAACACAGAAATCCTATATCCCTTTATGCCCTATCCAAAATAAAATTCTGCATCTCTTGTCCTTGGCTGGCTTGGTTACAAGGCCCCCTCTTCCTTCTCTAATCTCAATAAAGTAGCATCCTCCATTTTTTGTCTTAGAGAGTGTTGGAAAATCAAATGTAAAAAGAAAAAAAATCAAAGTAAGCTTGGGGATTTAAAAAGCATGATTGCACGCAAAACAGTATTTAAGAAGTCTTTATTCTGCATTGATCCCATTGTATTTACAAAATAGTGAGTCCAGATGGGAGATGCTAGAATGACAAGGAGCTTGAAAGAAAAAGATTTTTTTAAAAAAATTTGATTTATATGCCGCCCTTCTCCGGAGACTCAGGGCGGCTTACAATGCATTAAGCAATAGCCTTCATCCTTTTGTATATTTATACAAAGTCAGCTTATTGCCCCCACAAACTGGGTCCTCATTTTACCTACCTTAGAAAGGATGGAAGGCTGAGTCAACCTTGAGCCTGGTGAGATTCGAACTTACAGTAATTGCAGACAGCTGGTGTTAATCACAATGCTATCAGTCTGCTGAGCCACCAGGCCCGTTTAACAATCATGTTATTAACTTAACAATTGCAGAGATTCAATTAATGATGGCAAGAAAGGTCATAAAATGGGGTGAAACTCATTTAACAACCAGGTTGCTTAGCAACAGAAATTTTGGGCTCCATGGTGGTTGCAAGTCAAAGACTACCTATACAACAAATGGAAACATGAATGCTAGGCAGTAATGCCAACAGCATAGGGCCAAAAGAGATTCCTCTATCATTATAAGGAGAGAAAGTCTGAGAATCCATTTATCATTCTCATCCTATTGATATTTTTA